TATGATATATGATATATGATATATGATATATGATATATGATATATGATATATGATATATGTTATATGATATATGATATATGATATATGATATACGATATTTAAAATTACTTCTTAAAGTGCTTCCCTCATCATATTCCTCTGTAAATTAGTCAACTCGATTGTTCCTGCATAAATAGACCGCCTGGTAAATATTTGAGACTCTGTTTGCAGACCGATCCATAACATAACATTCTATTACTGTTGAGCTGTCGCAAGTGTGAGTTGTTTTGTTTTTGTTTTGCTTAATGCATTTGTGGCCAGCTTAAGTACTTTTAACTAATGCTCAACATTTTTTGCTGGCCGTGTGTGGGGGGGCATGAAAAGATTTGATGTGCGCTTTATTCACGTCTGGCTTCTGTTTATATGCATATTTATTTTCGCTTTAGTCCGCGCTCCGCGTCTCCGTGCATTCGTAATTAGTTAATGTGCCGCCGCAGTCAGTCTCATTCGCATTACAGAGCCTAAGCGTCGCACGGTTTCACGGGTGGCTGACTGACTGCCGTCCTCCTTGCTCCCTCCTTCAGCCGCAATCGCGCTATGTCCTTGTTGGTTATTAAAAAGAAGGAAAAGAAAGGAGCTTGCTGCCTGGGCGGTGTGTGCGTGTGCGTGTGCGTGTGTGTGTCAGGCGCTATGCCTCCTGTTCGGCTGTTCTTAGTCGTTACTCACCTGCGCCCAGCTGCTGCCTCGGCTAATGAAGTACATATATTTATATATATAAATATATTTACATATATGCATGCCGAGCCCCCACATATGCCGGTCTTCAAAGCAACATTTCTCTTTTTTATATTCAGCTTATATTTTGCTCTGCTGCCGCTTGTACACATAGGCACGCACAACAACCACACACACACACACACACACACACACACACATATACACATACACATTTGCATGCATAATATGTGAAAGCGTGTTTTTTGATATGCTCTTCCCTCAGTCTATGTGTGTGCGTGTGTGTGTGAGTAGAACAACATTTAAAATGTAAGCGTTTTACGTGGCGTATACTTAATGCATTAAGCATACGCCGCGTGGCCCGTCACAGAGCTGCGCCACTGACAACCTAAAGGCGACACGCAAAAAAAAAATATATGTATATGTATATATATAAATAAAAAACCCCCTCCCTTTGGTTTTACCAGCTTCTGGTATTTGTAGTCGTATTCGTTTTCGTTCTCGTATTCATCAGCCCTCTACTCCGCCTCATTCACAGGTGAACGTGAGCAACACCTGGACCATGCCGCAGGAGGGTTTGAATGTGTTCTATCGTTTCTTCCGTGATCGCATCTCCTGGTTTGAGGCTGATGCCGTTTGCCAGTTCCATCATGCCAATCTGGTGACAGGTAAGTGGGAGACGGAATGGGCAGTGGCCAGCAGACAGTTAGCCGCAAAGCCAAGTCAAAGGTGCGGCGTGAGGCTTTAGTTAAGCTATCTGCCCAAGCAAAAAAAGCAACAGCAAAAGAGAAAAAAATAATGAACATGAGAAGGAAACGGAAAAATATTTGCCATGCATGTGGACATAGTGGGGCAGCAGAAGCAGTAGCAGTAGCAGCAGCAGCAGCACCACCACCAGCAACAGCAGCAGCAGCAGCAGGTGCTCTGGCTGCAGGGCCAACGATAACAAAGAGTGCATATAAAGCAATGGTAAATGCCAACAAAATGTGAAATGCAAATAAGCCCAATCACAACACAGAAATTGGGAGGAGCCGAGCGTGCAGCTACTGGCAGGGGGGTAACGAGCAGGAGGGCAGGGGGGAGCCGGGTCTATTGTAAATGTCCGGCAGCTGTTGTCACAGTGCTGCATGGAACGGGCTTCATCTGACAACCCGGCGGTTGCAACTGCAAAGTGACGCAGTCGAAGGTCCTGAGAGTCAAGAGTGAAGCCTTTTGGAAAGGGTAGTCAATGTCAGTGCCTGTGCCAGTCCTCTGTGTGCCTCTGCCCCTGCCCCTGCCCCTGCCCCTTTCACTGACTATGCCAATGTCTAACCAGCCAGCCAAAGGATCTGGTACGACAGGCTTTATCATGTGGCTGCACCACATACAGCACAAACATAATAAATCCCTTTCACAAATACCGGACACTGCAATGCGGGCCAGACGTGGGGCAGGGTCGGTGCAACTAAATCAACAATAGGTCGCTTAACCGGCTCATGTGCATGCGGTCCTCGTAAATAGCTAAGTAGATTGTTGATAAATTGTTCATGCCACTCAAAGACAATGCAAATTGTGCGACTGCCATCGAAAATATTCCGCAAAGTCTGCCAAGTCCGATCAAAGCTGCAAATCTGATAAACAGGCAAATTGCAATTGATATCTATATATATAGATATGGTATATACATACATATGCTTGTGGCTCTACTCCACGGAACGTAAGAGGGAATTGAAAGATGGGTTGAGGAAAGAGCGATTAGGAGAGAAACTTTTATAGAGTAGCCTGAAATAAAGGGAAATACATCTGTGAGTACCAGATCCAACAGGAAAGTGAACAAGTCACAGCAAGTCAGAACAGAAGAAACAAAAATTGTTTCAATATATTTCAGCATCTTAGCAAAGGGTTAGAGAAAATGTTCACGAAAGGGTTATAGAAGTTAAATGGAATCTTCACCTATGATAAATATATTATATGCAAATACCTTCAACACGCTGATACGGAAAGTTTCTCTTTAGTTAAAAATATGGTTTAAACTATGAACCTTCGATTAGACATACTACAATAGATGGCCTAGTCACAACCCCCTTTAGAGTTACTGCCAAGGATAGGACAACCTTCAGTCGTTCCTGGCAGTGAAGTACCATTCCGTTCAATACAGACAAAGATGCACAAAGTTATTCAAGGCGACGTAACGGTGCTCACAAATCTGACTTGAATACTAAACTGGTTGATTGGATTGCATTGTCCTTTATCCTTATAAATAGATTCATATGCTTCACTCATAGTTTGCCTCAACTTGTGTACAACACCAAAAGTTCATTCGAGCGCACAATTGTCCCCGGGTCAGCTAGCTATCTAGAGGTGGGGCGTGGCTGGGCGGCAGGCGTGTCGTGGGCGGGTGTCAGTGTGCATAAACAATTTGGGAATCAGGGATGCATGTAAATGTGTGAAACAGAAACAAGGATAATAAAAAATGTAGCACAAAGCGGAAAAATGTGGAAGCTGAAGAACAACCAGAAGAGCAAGAAGAAGAATAAGCAGAACTAGAAGCAGCAACCACGTCGTACAAATACACAGCTAAATGACAGGGTGAGCCGAATGGAAACCAGACTAAAGTTGAAATAAGAAACTGGAAAATAAAATATAGTGGACGACCAACAGACGCCCTGTGAGCAGAGCGAATATACTAGAATATACTTGGTAGACGTATATAAAATTTAATATAGACAAGTATATACATATATATGGTATTTGTATGCTCATCAGATCTATTTTAACTCATATTCAAAGGCAGATATAAAATAAATGTCGTAAGGATATCATTTTAGGAGTTTTAAGACTATTTTTATTCTAAATATCCAATATTGAAGAGCAAAAAGCGACTAAAAGGTGCTCTGCAGATCTCAATTCATTATATAACTAGTCGTTGCCTACTTCGATAAAGCGACTTAAAGGTGCCCTTTATAAGTATTAGTAATGATATATGGATGCCAAGTGGTAGACACCGTATATGTAGATCTTATTTTGTATTCATTGTATACAACTCCAAGGTGCTGGCAGATACCCTGTGCTCGAGATTAGCCTAACATCTACGTGTTTTAACTGTAATTATTAATTAACTAGCTATATGTTACTAGATGTTATCCCGTATCCAAGGCTCAATTTGTTTGTTAACTAACTTTGTCAGGGATATCCGATTTTTTCCCACAATGTCCAACAAAACTACAAGGTCCTCTCCCACTGAGCTATATAAATTTCTATGCACACAGAGCCGAAGCCCTTCCACACACAGTTTCATTTTCGATTTTACTTTTTGCTTTCGTAAATATTTTTAGTATGAACACAAGTTGAGAACATGCATTGGATTAGACCAGCCGCTGCCCTGGCTGTCTGTCTGTCTGGTCTGTTCGTTTAGATGGAGGGAGTGGGGCGGTGTTGTGGGCGGTAGGGGCCTTTCGGAGTGGTTTCTGTGGTCGCTGTTGCTGGCAAATGTGCCGCATGCCCGGCACAGGGAACGGAACAAAAACAATACGCCGGACAAATTAAATAGAAATATTCGCATTGAACAAATAAAAACCATTTGTTTCTCTTTTCAAACCCTTCGGTTCTCGTTCTCTCATCCTTATTGTCTTTACTTTTGTTGTTTTTTGTCGCATGTGCTGTTGTTGTTTTCCTTCCCCCCTTCCTCCTTTCCCTTTTCGCTTTTCATTTTCATTTTTATTGTATTTGTATTCTTTTTGTTTTGTATTTTTGTTTTTTTTTTTTTTTTTGTGTTTTGCTGGCAGTCGA